CCATCAACAAATAAAGGTTCCACGGGCTTTACTCCATTCGCATTTTCACAGTCAACTCTACTTTGAGGAGGCAGCTCTTCCCCAGTGGCATTTTGAGTGCCTTCCAACCTGAAGGGCTCATTTCCCGGCACTATATCTGATAAGTGTTTCTCTCGATTCATAAGGTTTTCAGTGACTAAATATTTGGAAGTAGTTCGTCACTCTTTCTTCCTAGTCTGTCTTCGTCTGGAAGCTCATCTGAAACCTGTCCACCATGGGTGACCCTGATGGTATTTAAAATACCATTGTGTGACTTGATATGAAGGTATACTAACTTTCTTTGGGGTTACTCTGTAATTTACCAGTTTAAAACAATCTGTTTTATCTTGAAGCCTACTTGTCATTTGGAAGGTCTGTAACTATACTTTTCCCTCTTTTTGCTTTGTAGCGTCTTCACTACAAATTGTTACCTCTCATTCCCTATTTTTAAGTCTTGTAGATTTGTTTTACTTTGCATATTTCTGGTGTGGCGCTGTGGGTTAATGTGCCAGACTGCAAAGCTGTTGAACTGCAAGGTCAGTGGTTTAAGCCCACCAGCTGCTCCTCGGAAACCCTATACAGGGTCGCTATGGGTTGGAACAGACCCAACAGCAACAACAACATAACTGGATTTAACTCTGGATTGTGTTGTGTATATCAGCCTCAGGTTGTTGCCCACTGTTGATCGTTCACAGTCCAAAAAACTTCCTTTAGTATTTTTTGTAATGTTGGCTTGGTTTATTACAAATTCCTTCAATTTGTTTCTCTGGAAATGTTCTAACTTCACCATCTTATTTGAGAGTGTTTGGCTAAGTATATGATTTTTGGTTGACAATTTTTTTCTTTCAGTTATTTTTACGGCTCCCCATTGCCTTCTTGCCTGCATGGTTTCTGCTGAGCAATTAAGAGCTTAATCTTATTGGGTCCACTTTGTAGGTAACTTCATTTTTCCCATAATGCTCCCAAATTCTTTCCTTGTCTGTGATTTTGGAAAGTGTGATTATAATATATCTTGGTGATTTTTATTTTGGGTCTATCCTGTTTGGGCTTCACTCAATTTCTTGAATGCTTATCTCCTCGTCTTTCATGATGTTTAGGAATTTTCTTTTCCAGCAGCTCTTCAACGATCTTTTCTGTGCTTTCCTTTGTCTCATCTTAGTCTGGAATTCTGATCACCTGTAAGTTATTCCTCTTCATATTGCCCCAAATGAATCTTAGGCTCTCTTTGGATTTTTTTTTTTTTTTTGTCGTATTATTCTTCTCACTTACTGATATTGAGAGCTCACTAATTCAGCTCACTTATTAGGGTTCCAATGGTTCATATCTATTTTTTGCCCTTACAAGGTATTGTCCTTTTCTGAAATCTTAGTATTAATGTTCTGGATTTCTATACGTAGGTTTAATTGCTTCTGGCCCTGTATCTCTTTTGTTTGATCAATGCCTTTGTTTTGTTAACTCAAAAAGATTTTTAGCTCTGCTTCTTGGTCACTTGTTTGAGCTACTCTGTCTTGTTTGTTTGTGTGACAGAAATTGTTGCTTTCAAGACATTGTAGTTGTGTTGTATTTGTATTAAGCACATGACTGTATGTTGGTGTACTATTATAAATTCACCAACTGCCTCCTGATGGGTAAGATTAGGGGATTAATTATACACCATTTTCTGGTCTTGGTTCACGCAGTTCAGTGTACAATGGGTTTTGTATACTACCCAGTGTACAACATCTGGAATTGGTTCTTGCCTGATGTATTGTAGAGGATTGTACAGGGTTATGTCTGTGGCTGGGCTGTATAGACACAATTGCTACTTGACTCTTGTCGAGCGAGGCAGGAAAAGAATACACACACAAGAGAGAAAGAAAACAAATATTAGCAGAAAAAAGATAATAAAAGCAGGCAACAGCTAGAAAAAGAATACAAAAACTAAACAGAGGAAAGAGGGAGAGGAAATTTATAAAAAATTAAGAGGCAGAAAATAAAAAGAACTAAACAAATTATGGAGAGGAATAAGTAAAAGGGAATGAGACCAGAAAGCAGTAAAGAAAAAGAAAAAGAAATTAGTAGCAGCAATCTACAAAGAGAAGCAGGAAAAAAAGAGAAGAAAAACTGAAACCACAGATAGAAAGGATATATAGCAAGGAAAGGAAGAAGAGGAAAATAGAATAAACAAACAAACAATGAAAGCCAAAAAGCAGGGCAGGTGACAGAACCAGAGAGGAGAAATTTCTGTGGTCTCCAGCCAGCTAAGAACCTCATGTTGTGGGTGGGCAAGGAATGAGAAGGTTAACTGTTTTGACCCTATATGGACTTCCTGTAGAGCTAGGTGTCGTTTGTTCTGGTCACACAATCTGAAAGTAATTCATGCAGACTCCAAGGAAGCTGGGGGACCAGGGTGTTTCCATCCCAGAGGACAGCTGAGGGTGAGAGGTTCTGCTAGTCCAGGGCTGGCCAGAGCCAGCTCTGCAGGTCTGGAGCAGGTCACACCTGACTCCAGGAGCTGGGCTTCATGCTGCTAGTTCTAACTCCCTTTGATGTGATTCCAACTGCCTGGAGAGCAGGAGCTTTACTGGGAGTGAACGCAACTGGTGGTCGGCTACACCTCTGGTCACCAGAGTAACATGGGGTGCAAGAAAAAAAGTAATACCTTTCTCTCCACCAACAAGCAGAATGTCTCTGTACCACCTACTCTTGCCTTCAATGTCACCCTCAAAAGTTCAAGACGGTCACGCCATGCCTGGCCAACCAGCAAAGATCACCATTCTTCTTTCTACCTTCCTTCCTGACCCCTCCGCCCACCCCACCCCATCCCCACTCCAGATGTCCATTCAGCTGCTTCTCCTAGTGATGCCTAGTCCAGGGACAGCCAGGGCCAACTCTGTAGATTTGGAGCAGAGCCCACCCAAACAGAGTTCATGTGGATAGCTGCCCACACCACCTTTAATGAGGCTAACAACTGCAGCACTCACCTCCTGGCAGCTCCAACTTCTGGGACAACAGGAGCTTTCCTGGGGCTGAACACATGTGGGGGCCAGCCTTGACCTTTCCTCTGGGCTCCAAGAACAAAATTCACCTTTTATCTCCTGGAGTCACCAGTATGTTTCTGCAATGCCAATATGTTTTCCTGTCTCTGAAGCCATTCATAAAAGCTTAAAATTTTGACTATGCCGTGAATAATCAGCTGATAAAGGCCACCCACCAGTCTGTCCCCTTTTTGTTGTGTCTGTTCAGCTTTCTCTCCTAGTAAGTATTCAATCCACTTCTGAACTTCAAGGTTCCAGGACTACCATGTGTATCTGTCTCATTTGGTTTTCCATCATCTTTGTTGTAGAGGGTGTTCGCTATAGCCTTTCTGTCTAGTCTGCCATCTTGCTGCCTCCCACCTGTTTTATATTTTTATATATATATATATATATATATATATATATATATATCTGTATATGTTGTGTGTACATATATTTATTTATTTATAATAATTATTTTAAAAAGAAAACTGCCTCAGCAGAAGGCTAAATAAACCATACTTCATCATTCAAAGGAATACCACATAGAAGTTAAAATGAGTAACAAAGATTTGCATGGATAAATCGTTAACACAACATTCACAGATTAACAGCAGATTAATATAGAGACAAATGCAGAACATAAAGAAAGACAAGAGAATGATATTTCAGAATTTTAAATAAGCAAGCTAGGTCCCATGTGTAGCAGGTAAAAGAATGTAGCTCTGTTGTCAGGCTAATGAGCTCCACAGTCAAAGTGTTGTAGTTGTTAAGTGCCATCGAATTATTTCTGACTCAGTAACATGGCATATGGTTTCTGAGGAGCGGCTGATCTTGGTTTGAACTGCTGATCTTGGGGTTAGCAGTCCAGAGATTATTATTCTATAGCACACCACACCAAGACCTGGCTCAGTGACTCACTAGTTATGAAACTTTGGACAAGTTTTTTAATTCTCAAAATCTTACATTCCCACAATAATGCTTGGAATACCAATAACAATATCTATCTCAGGATTTCTGTATTGAGAGAATGAATCCATTTAAAGCTCTTCATTAATTTTTTCACTAAATATTAGCTATTAGTTGGTTTGCAGCCAAGCACTTAACCACTGTGCCACCAGGATTTCTCAGCTATTAATATTGTTTTAGTATAAGTGCCATCGAGTCTGCTCTGAGTCTTGCAAAACCAGAAAGCTTTTCCATGGAGCGACTGGTAGATTTGCACCTTGCATGAGTCCTGCTCCTGATACTACCAGGGTTTCTTAGCTATTAGTATTAGCCTTGTTGCTGCTGTTTTTAAGTGCTGTCAAGTCGGTTCCAACCCACAGTGACCTTGTATATGGTTCATGAGCAGCTGATGGGTTTGAAGCACTTGCCTTGGGGTTCAAACTGACCTTGCACTCCAGTGCCTTCTAAATAAAGAACTTCAGCTGTGAAAAGCAACAAACTTTTTTGCATGACAACAGCATAAGCTGCTGAGAGCTCTTCAGCAGATTACAACTGGCTTTCTATAAGGAGCAGAGCTAATTGAAGGCATGCTTTGCAAATCACAGGTGTTTTGTAACTGAATGGAAATTAAACAAATGATCTCATTTTTTTTTTTAATTTTGTGTCTCAAGATAAGACACTTGGGTTCAGGTTTACAGATCAAATTTCACAATTAAAGCCCCTCACACAGACAGAGGTTAACATGCAAACTACTCAATTCTGCATCAGAAAAGACACCAATCAGTACACCTAGCCAGTACCAATGGCAGACTATGGGCCCTGATTAACTAAGGCCAGGAAAACTTGTCTGCAATAGAAATGGCCCTCTTTTATGCTTCCTTTTTTTGTTTTTAAATACAGAATTTTAATATACTAGCTCACAGGAACTCAGTAAAACACAAAAATCTATTCAGTGTGCCTTGCCACAAGGGAGAGCAGGCTGTACTTTTACTTCCATCCCACACATGCAGACAGCTCTCCCCCAGCTCGCGGTCTCACCTCCAGGGCACAGTTGAATTCACTGCCATCCAGGAGGGTCACTTTACACTGGACAGCTTTGGTCTTCTTTGTGGCTTTTTGAGATTCCTTCTCTGTTTTTTGCTCACTAGTTTGTACTTCTTTTGTCTCTCTTTTTGTTGCTTCTCCTTCTGGTTTTTCTTCCTGAATTTCTTTCTCCTCCTCTTCTCTCTTCTTACTTTCTTCTCCAGCAGGCTATTGAGGAAAAACATTAAGTTCATGACAATATTAACACATCTGCAGAAGACAAAAATTAAAAGAAAAATGTTCAACAAGAAATGTGATCATTATAATGCCTCTAAGACTTCTGGTGTGGCATTGTATAATAAGCACTGAACTGCTAACTGAAAGCTCAAAGGTTCAAACCCACTAGCCACTCCTCAGAAACCCCATACAAAGTTGCTATGAATTGGAACTGGCTCACCTGCACTTAAAGACAAGACCTTGTAAAGGTTGTTAAGTACTTTCCAGTCAGTTCCAACCCATAGCGACCTATATAGGGGTTTCCGAGGAGCAGCAAGTGAGTTAGAACCGCTGACCTTGCAGTTCAAAACAACTCTGCAGTCCAACACATTAGCCCACAGCGCCACATCAGGACTCCAACAATAAGACTTTAAGACTTCAAAATTTCACTGGAAAAGGGCACGGAAAGAAGAGCAAGTTCTAACATCCCCCGATCCCCTCAATCCACCACCAAATCTTATTTGTCAGTTTGGTAATTTGAGGATTAAATGACTGAAAGACACTACATCCTGCCATTAAACATCATTTCAAATAACAAAATTTATACTGAAAATTTCAAATGATGACAAAGCCTAGACTTCTTTAAGTTATCAAATTGCACAAACATGCACACCAACAAATCTACTTCTTTCTACTCAGAATTTTAAAAAAATCAAAGTATATAAATGAGCCTTCTGCTTAAAAGAAGAAATGGCAGCAGTCTAAAAGTTATCTACTACCCGGTCTCTAAAATAAACAGGATTTATTTTAATAAATAAAATAAAATAGGGTTTCCAAGGAGCGACTGGTGAGCTTGAACCACGGACCTTGTGGTTCAAACAGACCTTGCAGTCCAACATATTAACCCTCAGCACCACAAAGCAGCATTTCAATACAAGAAATTTGGCTATAATTGAAATCAAGCAAATCCTTTTTGTTATATGGTTATGCCTTTGAACTTTCAATTCCAGACACTCACTTCCCATACATACCTGTGCCTCACCAATGTGCACTGAAGGTTTGTCTTCCTTAAGCTCCTGGTGTTCTCTCTGAGCTACTTCTTCAGCATCACCCTTGGCCTGCCTCTCTTCTTCTGGAAGAGATTCCTCTTTATCTACGATCTGTTCTTCAACAACATCTTGTGTAGGCTCCTTTTTGTCTGCTCCATCTTTGGCCACGACTAAGTTGTATGACTTTTGCTTCTTAAGCCATGGAGGTATGAATCGAGAAATACCCCTGCTCTCAGATGGATCCTTCTCTCTCTTCTGACGGCGAGGACTACTTTGGCTTTCAGCTGCAGAAGGTGCCTGGGAACTTTTCTCCTCCTCTGGATGGGATGATTGATTCTGCTGATTTTCTTCTTCGTCTTTAGGTTTCTCCTTAGTTGCATCTCCTCCTAAATGGTCAGATTCCTTTTTCACTTCAGACGCAGAGTCTACTTCAGTAGTCATGATCACAGCTTATTCTGAAAAGAAAGAAAAACCATAAAACGCTATTTTACAAATTCTTCTAATTTGAGTTTAAAGATAGAGTAGATTCATAAGCACAGGAGAAAACTCTGCCACTCTAAGTTTCAGAATTTCCATTTGAATCAGACCAACGCTTGCATCACAATCGATCTAATTCTGGTTCTATACCTAAAGACCTTAAAATCACTAAGGGCTACAGAGAAAATGATTACTTTTGCTTCAATAAGTTATAAACAGAAACTAAGAAAAATAATCTAATTTTGTTAAGGATAATTACTTTTCTCTCTATTGGTTCTGAGGCGTCCGGGCAGTACTTGGGTTAAGCATTGGAATGCTAACCACAAGGTCAGTAGTTCCAACCCACCAGGCGTTCTGTGGGAACAAAATAAGGGTTTCTGTTCCTGTACAGGGTCACTGTAAGGAGCTCTGGTAGCGTAGTGGTTACGAATCGGGCCGCGAACCTTATGGTCAGCGGTTTGAAACTACCAGCTGCTCCGTGGGAGAAAGATGAGGCTTTCTACTCCCGTAAAGATTTACACTCTCGGAAACCCTGTACAGGGTCGCTATGGGTCGAAACCGACTCGACGGCACTTAACAACAACAACAGGGTCACTGTGAGTCAGAATCAACTTGATGGCAATAAGTCTGAGTTTAGATTTCATCTCTTCTATTCAATAATATTAAAATGGTACACATTTTCACATATTAACAACCAAAATCGGCAAAATAAATTTCAGGTATTATAAAAACAAATCTTCAATGGATAATTTAAGATTTGTTAAAGAAGAAAATTAAATTGGGGGAAAGGGGAATGTGATTTTCATTCCAATGTTAAATCCCATAATTCACCATTATTGTTCTAATGTCAAAATCTTTGGGGAAAGGTACTCAAACTAGAGGCAAAATGCAAATTTTGGAATTCCAAACTTACATTCTACCCTTCCTCAAACACATTTTTTCTTTGTATATGTGATTATAAGAAGTAGGTCCCAGGGACCCTACTCTGAACCAAGTGAAGATAGGAATGGGAAACCTACATCTAATGTTTGATCTTATCATAACTGAAGAGAACAAAATCTGTATTAAATCGGAAAGTAAATGTTGTCCAAATTTTACACAAACCAAGAGCACTTATTTACGGCATAGCAGCAGCACTGACATGAAAGGCAGCAGCGTTCAAGGACTGCAGAGAGAGAATCAGCATGCTCCTTCCTGCCAATGGTGAAGGGCTACAGTCTGCCTGCCCAACCCGACCCACCCCACCACCTCCTGTCTATATGGGACACTTCCCCACAATCTCCAACTGTGATACAAACTTCAACAGGTCAAAAATACACTTCTTTAAAGTTTTTAGTGAGCTGTAATTCATATACCATAAAGCTCACCAACTTAAACTTGACAGTTAAGTGGGTTTTAGTCTATTCACTGGTTAGGATAAGCCCTCGAACATCAGGTCCATTTGAACTGCAAGATTGGTGCTTCAAACTCACTGGAAACCCCATACAGGGTCACTATGACTTGGAACTGATTCAGAGGCACTTAGCAACTTAACAATTGTCTATTACCATAACTTTACATTTTCATCATCCCCAAAAGAAATCCAGTACCTATTAGCAGTCACTACCCATTCTCTCCAGCATAGAGAAGCTAAAGCAAATGGAAGAATTGAAGAGGTCCAAGAGCTGAACAGAAAATTTCAAAGATCAGCTCGAGAAGATAAAACCAAATACTATA